GTCTCTCTCTCTCTCTCTCTCTCTCTCTCTCTCTCTCTCTCTCTCTCTTCTCTCTCTCTCTCTTCTCTCTCTCTCTCTCTCTCTCTCTCTCTCTCTCTCTCTTTCTCTCTCTCTCTCTCTCTCGTGACATCCCTCGCTTATGGCTATAGTGGCAGTTCATCAACGATTCGAACGCATGTCTAAAAACTCGACATCGATTGCGATAGGGTGGATTCACCACGCGGCGGGATCATCATGCTAATGTCCGAATTTCGCAATTTTCAAATGGATCCCATCGACCAGGCCGCCATATAGACATACGGGCGATCGTTAACCAATTACTGCAAGCGATAATTTGAAAGACAAACAACGAACGCGTAGGAAATTTAATGAATGGATGGGAAGGGGCTTTTTATGCGCGCGCGTGCGTGCGGCGTGGAGTGTAAGTGTCTCTTAAACATTACAGCCAAAATCCGTGTTCGATTTCAGAATGTCAATACAGTAACGCCTCCCACTACACATCTGCCACTACACATCTCTCACTACACGCATCTGCCATCTCACAGGGGGGTTTCGTTCACATGCAATCTTACTCATGTAGAAGTGATAACTGTATGTCAGATATCTCGGCAAGTGGCAAAGGGTATGAGATATCCGAATTCTAAGATATAATGTGTGCTTGGTTTTTAAGACTTACCTCTCCCACTGCTAATTCAAATTGACATTTTGAAAGAGACCTTTCTAGTTAATGTTATGAAACCTGCAATGCCTCACTAATTAGCATTAGCAAAAATAATAAATCACTACTACTGTGACATTCGTGATATATCTTCGGTAATTCATGATCTTATTTAAACAATGACGATAATTCTTAGAAAACAAACACACGCACGACATTGCCTCCCTAAATACAATCTTATCATAAACAGTTTTATATAATAAAGATTTATTAAGATACAGATTATGCAGATGCAGATTTCCGAGTTACGAAGAGAACAAAATGTTCGCCATTTTATAAAGAAACTTGATTGGATCATGCATGCGTGAATAATGAATTCATCAATTTCGCGTATCAAGCTAACTAAGTTAGTGCCTAAATTATAACGTTAACTAGAGGCTGGTAGCTTTAGCAACCATGCTTATAGCGCATGCTAAAATACTTGCGATTCACCGCGGTACTATCTTAGAACTAAACATAGAAATAATATAGGTAGACTATGTATCTCTATATATTTCTATGGAACTAACCCCTCACTAGAAAATTCACGAATAGGTAGCTTTTCTGTTCAGACTTCAAAGGCAAAAGAATGTTCTCGTTCGACTGACTTCTCGGTAGGCAGCGAAGCTGGTTATAGATGTCTTCCGTTAGGGTTGCGTAAACCGATTTTAAAGCGGCGCTGTGTGCAATTTGTCACATCGCGTGGAATGCAGAAACTTCGATTGTATGTACACGCATGCAGCCGACAACGACGGCGATTGCGAAGACAATTCGCTAGTCGTACGTCTGGAGCGGGAACAGCGCAGTCGAGAGATAGATATATAGATAAAGAGAAAGATAAATAGATAGATAAATAAATAGATAGATAGATAGATAGATAGATAGATAGATAGATAGATAGATAGATAGATAGATAGATAGATAGATAGATAGATAGATAGATAGATAGACAGATAGATAGATAGTAGATAGATAGATAGATAGATAGATAGATAGATAGATAGATAGATAGATAGATAGATAGATAGATAGATACTGTAGCGAGCGACGATGGTCGATCAAAGGACCATGACTCGTGTGTGCTCAACAGCACATGATAGCACATTGTAAGCGCAGGCCGCGAAAGAGAAAGAGAGGGGGAGTAAACAGAGTGAGTCGAGGAGTGGCAGAGCGAGGGATGATGTGGAGAGAGAGTAGTATCAAGAGTACATCATGGCGCGATCATATCCCAGGCCCGTAGCCAGGGGGGGGTCGCGGGGTTTTCGAACGAAGCCGCCCCCCCGCGAGCCATGTCCCCCCCAGCCCACGAAGCAAAAAAATAAATAATTTGCCAAATTTGCAAGAATTTCACCTCAGGTCGCTTCCATTTTTAGTGTAATATTGCAAAAATCTCCAGTCGTGCGTCGGGGGTGAACAGTGCAAACACCCCCCTCCCACCACCCTCCCCCGCTCGTTCGGCTTGGCCTTCCCCCCTCGCCTGGTCGTCGCGCCCCGAGCAGGGGGCGTGTTTTGGGGGGGTCCAGGGAGTACCGGACCCCCCCTTGGCTCGCGGCTAGAAAACGCATCTGAGGGGCGGTCTAATTTTAAAATTTTTTCTGGGGAGGGCCCCCCAGACCCCTCTTCGCGTGCCTCGCCACTTTGGTTACACGGTTAGACCGCCCCCCCGCCCCGGTAGGCAAATCCTGTACACGACCCCTGCGCGAGCAAATTGCCAACATTGAAAAACAGAATGCCCCCCCCCAATAGAAAGCTGGCTAGGGGCCTTGATATCCATTAA